CAATGGAACAAAATTGAAGACCCAAATATGAGTAATTGCAATTTTAGCCACCTGATATTTGACAAAGGGGCCAAGAACATTCACTTGAGGAAAGACAGCATGTTCACCAAATGGTGCTGGTAAAACTGGATCTCCACCTGTAGAAGAATGAAACTAAACCCCTATCTTTCACCTTGCACAAAAGTCAATTCCAAATGGATCAAAGACCTCAATGTAAAGCCTGAAACTCTGACATCAATTGCTCAGGAAACAAGGACAAGAATCAACAAACGAGACCTCATTAAACTAAAGTGCTTCTGTACATCAAAGGAGGCAACTAGGGAAGTGAAGAGTAAACCCACAGAATGGGTGAAAATCTTCACCAGCGACACATCTGAGAGAGGTGTAACATCCAGAATATATAACGAACACAAAAAACAGACAATCAAGAAAGAAGTAAGCCAACTAAAAGATGGGCTAAGGAGCTGAACAGAGAGCTCTCAAAAGAAGTAGTAAAAGATGGCCAAGAAGCATCTTAAAGATGTCCAACATCACTGACACCCAGTCAGACTGGCTAAGATCAAGAGAACAAATGATACCAAATGTTGGAGAGGATGTGGGGAAAGGGGAACACTCATCCACTGCTGGTGGGTCATAAAAATTTACGTCATGTTAATTAGTAGCTATGATAAACATTACCATTGAAATCTACTTGATGACTTTATAGACATACACAGGGGCCAAGGCTCCAAGTGCAAACGATTATGATTAGTAATATTCAGATACATACAGATGAGACCCATGTGCCTACATCTTAGTCTTATTAGCAAAAACAATGAGTCTATAAGAAACAGTATATTTTAAAATGAAATGGAGATTTTTTTGTCATTTTGAGACAGGGTCTCCCTGTAGCCCCAGATGTCCTGGAACTCACTATGTAGACCACGCTGGCCTTGAACTCAAAAAGGTTAGTATGCCTCTGTCTCCCAAGTGCTGGAATTTATTATTTAATTTTTTTTTAATTTTTAAAGCAGCATTTCATTACATCTTTAACACACTCAATAACAGTTTCCAGAGCAAAGATACATCTCTTTCAAAAGTGGCTATAAAATTTTAAGGTTCGCTGTTGAACTAATACAGTTATATAATATTGAACTCAGTATAAGCCCTGTAAGACATAAAATTGAATGAGTTTTTAAACTTTAAAAAAGATCTGTGTCCCCCAGAATCCCTCCCCCTTGGCCAGAAACACTAGGAACTAAAGCAAAGGATGACCCCTATACACAGTGAATGAAGGTGGTCCTGTAGCCCCCCTCCTTCCCCAGAGTCCTCTGCATATGATGGATGGGGATTCCACGGCCTACCCAGGACAGAAACTCTGGCTTTCCTCTCCTAGCCTGTGCTATGATCTGGATATTGATAGATTCCCCAGTAGCCCCTCAGTCCAGCACAGCACACAGCTGACCCCTCTCATGGCTCTGCACAGCCAGCCAGCGTCCCACACCCCAGAGTGTTACGTTCCTCCAGGATCCAGAGACATCCAGCTACCTCCTGGACGGTGTCCAGTAGTCACTCCATGTCCCCACTATCCATAAGGCTTGTGATATCAAAGCTCTCAGTCAGGGGACTATAAGCCAGTCCAGACCCCTGTCATGTGAACCTTCCCAGAGTAGCCCAGAGGCGTTAGGCAAACAGGAACAGTAGATCTCATTAGAGGAGGTGTCAAAACAGTTTCCCTATCTGCTGGGGGGGCCCCCGGTCTTTGCTTTCTCCCAAGCAAAGGCCAGCACTAAAATCCAAAAGTGACCCCACTTCTGCCTAGAGCCAACAAAAGACCCCTGGCCACAGACCAGGCCCTGCCCCTACTGCCCAGCCCACATGGAGGACAGACTGGACAGACTTGCCTTAAAGGGAAGGGAAATGAAGAAATGAACAGGAGTTCCATGTGCCTGCAATGCCTCAGCGGGACAAGCAGGCTTAGACTGCTGAGGTCTATCTCACACCTAGCCTGCTGTAGAATCCCTGCTCTGTCCTCCACTCCCAGTGACATCCCATTGTAGCAACACCAGCAGGTACTCAGGGAGCCACACTAGTCATCTGGCAAGAGTAAGAGCCAAGAATCGTGCCGTTCTCCAAAACAGAGAATTGTCTCCCTCTTCCTGGATTCCCTTCTCTCTCTGCCTCCTTGGGGAGCAGGCATGCTGGGCACAGTCCAGGATCCTGGACCACAGACCTTGACCCACCCCCCACTCCCATACAGTCTGTACCATCAAGGCTACTTCTCCACAAGGCCTAGGACATGCCAGGTAGGAGGGAGGGGAGTGCCTCCCAGGAGCCATGAGGGAGAGCGACATTTCAGGTCCTGCTGAAGGTCCCTAAGGGACACCTCTGACCCTCCGTGGAAAGCCACATTACAACTACAGAGCCAAGGAGTGGCAGGAGACCTCTAGCACTCTTTGTCTCAGAAGGATTTATGAGAGCGGAACACCCACCAAATAAACCCAGCTTGTATACACAGGCAAGGCACCCTTGCAAACACTGAGGACACAGCACCTAAATCCTATTCCTGGGCCAAAAATGCAGGCATGCTGCAGTGTGGAGAGCAGTCCTGGCCCCCAGTTCATCCAGGCTCACCCGGGATACTCAGCCCTGGAAGGGGAGCTAACTCTACAGACCAGTGGGGTAGGCTTACACATCCAGCCAGCACTTTTCCAGTTGGCCCCTGCCTGACAGCTGCCCCTCCCTCCCTCCCTGCCAAAGGAGCTGCCTCCTCTTGGGCCAGGGCTGACACAGCTAACCGTGAGGGCAAGGTTATGAGAAATGCATGCAGAGCCTCTGCTTCCAAAAATAAGGAAAAAAGAGAGACAGAGACACAGACAGAAGGAGGGAGGGAGGGAGAGGAGAGAGAGGGAAAGAGAGAGAGAGAAAAAAGAGGCCCTGTCTATGGTTTTCACTCACACATCTAGTCTGTGAACGAGGGGGGCTCTCCGGGGACCAGGAGGTTGCTGACTTCCGGCCTTGGCCTAAGGGCCCACCAAGCACCAGCCTTAAGTCAGAGGAAGCCCCTGCAGGTTTCTGCAACTATCACACCAACCAACCCCTTGCAGGACATAGGAAGATGCTAACTGAAGGGCAGTTGAGAGCTTCCAAGCCACCTAGAAGGGCCTAAATACAGCGCCCAGGCTCTTCTGAGTCAGTAAAGAGGGTTCTGAGGCCCTACAAGGAGCAAGGGACGACAGGGCCTCCACTGTCGGCGCTCCCAAACCCACGCTCCCGTGAGGACACTCAGGCACGGCATACACCCGGCCTTGACTTCCAGGCTGACAAGTCTCCACCTGCCCACGGGCCCAGAAACAACCACAGCAGGCTGTCCATACACAGAACATGCGTCCGGCCGGACACACACTGGATGACATACACTTGTCATCACCATCCCAGAGCTGCCTAAAGCCCTGTGCAGGAGCAAGGACGCACCCGAGGACGCCTTCCCTACCGGCCCACCCACGGGCGGCAGCCCGTACCTGCAGTTCGCAGCAGGCCACCTCGACCCAGGTCTCCGTGTCCAGCCCTTTGCAGACAGTTCCGAAGGAGTCCGGGCCCAGCTCCATGTCGAACTTGAGGAAGCGGCCGTCCAAGGAGGTGGCCCCAACCTTGAGGTCTTCCTCCTTGTCGTCCTCCTTCTCAGGCTCATCCTCGCGTGCGCGCCCAAGCTCTGGCTTCGCCTTGGTGACTCCAGGGTCCTCCTGGGTCGCGGCCGCCGCCGGGGTCTGCGCGGCTGCGGTGGCAGAGGCGGTGGCGAGATCCGGGGGCTCCGGACCAGGGTCCGAGGGGGCACTGGGGGTACCGAGAGCCGCTGCAGGCCCTGCGCGGCTGGGCGGCCCCGGGCGCGCTCCGCGATGAGGCGGCGCGTCTTGCAGAGCAGAAGTACCCGACGCTGCAGGAGCCGCCCGGGCTGTGTGGGTCGCTTCTGGGCCGCCTCCAGGCCCGGGCAGCACCTCGGAGTCAGGTTCCATCACGCGGCACCGCAGGAAGCGCTGGGGCCGCGGCCGCGCCGCCCTCGCCCGCGGCTCCGCCAAGCTCGCGGCTCCCGCGTCGCCTCATCTACTCCGGGGAAGTCTCGGCGACCGCCATCGCCTTCCATCTCTGCGGGCCAAGGACACACGGGCCCCGCTGCAGCTGTCCGGGTCGCGGGATGAGACAGCGCCGTCCCTGGGCCCGCTCCCTCCCCAACGCCGGCAGCAGAGGTGGCCCGGACGAACGTCCCCGCGGGCTCCAGGGCGAGAGCTAGTGGACGCGACACGAAGGCGCGGATCGCAAGGGGACGCCCAGCCCGGGGCTGCGGACTATCCCGGGGACCTCAGGAGCGACGACCCGGTAGGTGTCCCTGAGCGCTACGGAAGGGCCCGGGAGCCCGGAGACAGGGGTCGAGGCCGGTCTGGGGACGGACCCTCCGGGCCGTACGGAGGGAGGCTGCCGAGGGGACAGGGAGGCTCGGCGGGGGGAGGCACCGGCCAGGAGCCGGCGGCACGAAAGACCGACG